GAGCAGAAAGGCTGACCCTGAAGGGTCTAGGCCCGAAACGTCAGCCTCTCTGCTCCTATGATGCTGCTTGGCCTGCTGTGTTCATCCAGCCCTGCACCTTGTTGTCTAGAATTTAAGAGTCCTCTTTAAAGATCAGGCAGACTGGTCACCATGGCTTAGACAATTAAAGGCTTACTTCCCTCCCCCAAACCCCATAAAATCAATTTCCCCATATCAACAGGAAATTCTACTTTTCATACTTTTTCCCATTTGCCTTTTTTTTTCTACCTTTTTCAACTCAAAAGAATCTAGCTCATCTTTAATACTCTTTCATGAATGTTCACAATATTCTGATACCTCACCATAGTGATCATCTTTCAGAAATAAGCATTGTCTGTCCATTGATTTTGCAGGAAAGGCTCTCTTAAGAGGTTATTTTAATGTTAAAAGAGGATCTTATAACGTAGTTAAAAAAACTTTTGCTTAAATCCTTTTCTCTGTGTACGTCTTTTTGATTATGGAGGTTTAAAAAGAATGTTGTCTGATTTTCCTTGATTTTCTGCATTATTTCCTATCTGTATTTACATTCTAATTGATTTTGCATTAGTTGTACTTGCATTAAATTTTGTTGTAGATATTCTTATGGTACACCATTATGATTTATTTAATAGCTGATACTGCATTTACAAACAGCAATTCTGTCAGCTTTGGGTGCCATAATTTCCACTGTGTTCCTAGACCTCCAGTATTTGAACCTGGATGCTTTGTATTTAGAGATTCCAATAACTGAGAGTTATTGACTGGTCATATATTCATGGCATTTTGACCCATCTTTTGAACCTAAAACTATATATTTATTCATATGTATTTGTGAGTTTACTTAATTCACAGCCTTCAATACAATGGGACATCAAGCTCATGCAGTTAAATAAATGAAAGACAAAAAGTAATGAAACTGCTGAAACCAGCCATCAAATCATTAAAGGCAGTCTGAGACAAATCTTTCCTATTGAGTGAAGTGCATGTCTTTCCCATCTGTCTGGACAGTTATTGTGTAGCATATTAAAGAGAAGTTCATGGTCTGTGCAAAATAGAAAGATTTGTCTCCTAGCACCTAACAAATAATGATGACATTGCTTTCAAGTTGCTAATTCCAATATGATGTCCCTTTTCCAATTGATGTGGCTAAGTTTATCTTTATCAGAGGGATGGTACATCAGTTGTGGACCCTTCAATTATATTTTCAATTTATATCTGTATTTCAACATCTTCATTTTAATATCCTAGCATTAAACGTTGTCCTCATAACTCAATATTTTAAATCCTGTTATATTCCTGGTGAAAGTGCTCCTTGTAAATACTTGTGTACTTTTATTCCCTTAAGGTCGAAAGTTGATTCAGTTGAAAAGCTGAGTAAATACAGACACAAGTAGTTTATATTTGCGGGTAGTCCAAAACAAGGTGGCACAATCTTAAAATTAGAGATAGATCATTCAGGACTAAAGTCAAAATCGCTTTCTCAAACAGAGTTTTGGAAATATGAAGCTCTGTCCAACAAAATCCTGTGGATGCTGGGTGAATTGACATTTTCAAGATTGAGTGATGGACAAGTTTCTTTCATTAAGCAATATTGACCAAGTATGCTAAATCATACTGAGCCACAGATCAGCCATGATCTAATTGAATAAGGTGTAGGCTCTCGTGGTTAAATACTTTCCTATGGTTAGAATCTTCCAGGCCTGTCTGGAGCTTTTATATGGGTAGATGGGGGAACTTAATAGATGGGAGGCAAAGTATTCAGTTTCCTGACAGTGGGTTTAAAGTTTGGTTTTAAGTTCTCAGAACCTTTCAGGTGTGTAGGCTTGAACTTCCTTTACATTTATCAGCATGAATTCTCATTAACACCCCAACACACTGGATTACTTTTATTAGCATAATCTTGTCAAACCAAAAATTAAAAACTCATGTGTCTCCAAACCAAACATATATGAGTCATGGAACTGGCAGGGTAAATTTTCTTCCTCCCAGCTCTGTTGAGTACAAACTTCTTCAATAACCTGGCTTCTTCATAACCAAACTATCGTTTTGTGCAAATGCTTACAGTGTAAGGGGTGAAGCCTGACTGAGTTAACAGGGCTGCCTGAGTGAGGCAGCCACGCTGGTTGACACCAGCAAATCTGACCAGGCCACACAAATGGGGCTCAACTTGTAAGAGGCCTAACTCAAAAGGGAGCTGTGAGTTGAAAACTAAATAAAAACCAAAAGAACTGCGGATGCTGTAAACCAAGAACAAAAACAAAGTTGCTGGAAAAGCTCAGCAGGTCTGGCAGCATCTGTGAAGGAGAAACAGAGTTAATATTTCACTGTGAAGGAAGAAGAGTCACTGGACCCGAATCGTTAACTCTGTTTTTACCTTCATAGATGCTGCCAGACCTGCTGAGCTTTTCCAGCAACTTTGTTTTTGTGTCAAAAGGGAGTAGATTTTTTTTTCTTTTATTCATTCATGGGATATGGGCTTCGGTGTCTGAACCAGCATTTATTTCCCATCCCTAATTGCCCGGGGGTAATTAAGAGTCAACAATATGCTGTGGGTCTGGAGTCACATGTAGGCCAGACCAGGTAAAGATGGCAGATTTCCTTTCCTAAAAGGACATTAGCGAATGAGATGGGATTTCCCTGACAATTGGCAAAGGGTTCATCATCATCATTACATTCTTAATTCTAGGTTATTATTGAAATAAAATTCCACCATCTGCCATGGTGGGATTTGAACCCAGGTCCCCAGAACATTACTTGGGTCTCTAATACCAATAGGCCATCGCCTACCCAAATGGAAGGTTCAGAGAGTGTGCAGTACAATGGGAGAGGACTAACAGCTGTTTGCACAAGTTCCTGCACAGCATAAACAAACTGAATCTGGGGAATTGAAACATAAATAACAAATACTATTCTGCAATCGTTCAGTTAAGAGGTTAACACTGAAGGGAAGCATTCATTACTGAATAAATATGAATAAGCTCTATGAACTTCGGACACCAACATTTCAACCACGACCCGTGATTCATTTAACTCAGAGAAGAAGGGCACCTAAGACTCACTAACAGCGATGTTGGTGATGGCAGGAATCATCCTACATGCAAAAGTGTGTATTTGCTGATCAGAATCAACCAAGGCATACTGACTGCAAACAGAAAGATTTTAAAACTGAAATTCTGCTCAACCCCATCATCTTTAGAGGAAAAACGAAATTAGCTGTAGCTTTAACTCAAAATGTTAGGACAATTGAAGGAGTATTTGGCCAGCAATGTCTCTTACATTGTATTCCTTTCACTTATTGAGTTAAATTTAGTAAACCTGTTCTTATTCACTCTGTAATCTGTATTTCTATGTGTGGTCCCACCAGCTGTCTATGCTTGTAAATATTGGAGTGTGTTTTGTTATTTTACCCAGATTAGTACAATAAAACTAACTCTTCGTTAAAATTGTGAAAATGTGTCTAATTAGTTCTTTTATTATTACAGTACAAAACAAGTTAAACACTCACGTCCAAAGGAAGAGTGGAAAAGAGGAGTGCTATTTCACCTCTCTTCATCTAGTTGTAATGCTATGAATTCAACAGACTCCGTGTGGAGGTATAGGATAAGGGCACAAAAGCTCAAGGCTGATTTTAAATTTTAAGAAAGCAGCATGAAATGGCTTAGTAACCATGGACACTTATCAAAGATAGAAAAGATTTCACAACATTAACATTAAGTTATTAGAATACTTTAAAATGATTAACAAATGACTTTGGAGGAAGATCAGGGGAGCACAGTACTGAGATGAGACAAAATATTTTTGCTCTGAAGGCAGGAGGCCATTTCTACATGCTACAATTAACTTGTGATTAGGTACAGGAAATGTACTTAGCTATGATTAAATGACTGAAATAACAGAGGGACCATAAGACATAGGACCAGAATTATACCATTCAGCGCACTGAGTCTGCTCCACCATTTGATTATGGTTGATATGTTTCTCAATCCCATTCTCTTGCCTTCTCCCTGTAACCCTTGATTCTCTTACCAAACAAGACAGTGTATTAAGTGTCTTAAATACACTTAATAACTTGGCAGCATGACAGAAAGCAACAGTAGTACTGACTGTATACTAGAATTTGATAAATAGGCATTGAGCTTTTATAAGCTTTGTTTCAAATGTATAATAAGAGCATCCAACCAACTGATGCCAATTTAGAAAGAACAGGTACAAAGGCACCCTCTCAGTTATAATGGGAAAGCTCAATGGGGAATCCCATTTAGTGAATCTAAAGTTAAACAGGGATAACTATCCAACGTGGAATACAAAGAGACTTTGGACAGTTAGCTGCTGAATGTGGTTGTTGCTCCAAACTTTAAAATATACATATCTTTCATATCTGTCATTTAAAAAAATTATATCTTATAACAATTTTAGTTGCGAGTTAGTCAGAATCTCCAAACTGAAATGAAGAATATTACCACTTATCCTTTAATCTGAAACTACTTGACCACTTTGTGTCTGTTATACAATGTACTCCATCTGCTTCTTATATAGTTATTGAGAGAACGTTGGTGATATTGAATATTTTATTTCAAAATTAAAAGCTAGAAGATAAATGAGACTTCCTGTAAAGGGGATTGGGGTGCAAAATGGGTAGGTTTCATGTCTAGGAGCAGATCACTGCTCAGGCACATTGAATAGATACAATAAATATAAAACCACAGATATGTAAAACAAGACATCCATCATTTTGAATGAATACATCTGTAAAACACCATTTTTCAAGTTGCACTGTTGGCAGTTATACATATTTTAACACTAAACTTCTCCACATTAACTCTTTGTATCAGCTGATGTCAAATGCAATCTTGAACTTACAAAATATACACCACCAAAAACATTTGTTCCAACCACACTGAATCATGAAACAGTAATCAGTATCCTTACTGTTACTTTCTTTTAATAAGTAGGTTGGAGATAATACAGAAGCTAAGCCTAACTTGCCCTTTGCATTTTGGCTTGTTATTTGAAGTTTCTCAAAAGCGTAAGAGATTAATTGTTGACTAAAGTGTTTTCACAAAGTTTAAAAATCCAGTTTGATTATAACAAACAGTTAACATAGCTCCATTTGTTATAGCAAACTTTACCCAGTTATCTCTGTGATATAAGATTTCCTATAAGACTCAAACACATTGGCAGGTCCCAATGTGAGACATTTTAACCCTTTTTTAAATTAATTTGTAACTTAAAATAATGGGGACTCTTTACCAGTAATGCATTGTATGTAGGTGCATTTTCATTAGTCAAAAAATGTTTTTTCTAGCTGCCTGGAAATTAATAAGATGTTCAAACCTCAACAAACATGAGCCCCATGAAAAAATGAAATGCTGAACCCTTATCTAGGCCAATGAGGTTTCACTTGATGATCCACATCAAAAAGGGCTGCATCAGTTTGACACTTGAGGTTATTAAGAGCAATCATTTCCTGTGTGATTCTAATTTTTAATCACCTGGTATAGGACCGCTGCCAGTTAAAAATATCATGGATGTTATGAGAGCAAAATGAATCTGTTTTGAAGCTGTTGCCTCTGCCACATTTATAAGACATGGAGTTTCCAGACCCCGCACATTTTCTTTTTGAAAAGCTTTTTGTCCTTTCCTCAGTCATGAAGAACTCACTGACAGATTTAAAATACTCTAGTAATACCTCATGACTCCATGCAGAGGACCTGCTCTTCAAGAAGCCACAATGGCCACCATGTTTAGTTAACAATAGGAAAAAATGGGGGTTAGTTTCGAAAAGCTCAAACGGCAGGGTCAAGTCGGGGTCCCCTCTGCATGGATCATCCTGGCTGCAAATACACAGTACTGGCACAGCAACCTCATCCACATCTCGTAATGGATCATTCTTCTCCCAGTACAAATCCCAGGATAGGTTGCCCTTCTTTGTTTGACAGAACAGTACCTCTTCCATCTCCTTCAAAGTACGTGTGGCAAACAACTTATCCATGTCAATGATCTCTCCCAGTGCAGTGGCATACCTGGAGTTAGTAAAAGCATTAATAGTTGTATTTTAAGTCTATAGTTAATTCAAACTTCATTATTTTACAGTGTTGTGAGAAGTCAATTTCTAAGATCCATTATTCAACTGGAAAAATAGTAAATTGGATTTAATCCTGTAATGTCCCTGTTTCAAATGTTGGATGCTGTCTATCACCCTGAAAAATTAATGACTTGATCTGATTAAACTCGGGCAAAATGCTACCCTTTCTCCAGCCTTCCTTTCCTCTGTAAATTTTTTGAAATATTGGACCAAGTGTCATATTTCATTAATTCATTTGCATCCCTTCAGAAATAATAGCAAGTGTGGCTGTTTAGTACTTATACTTACACAGAGCTTTACCACAGCAGCATTTTCCCAAAACTTCCAGGCATTGACTGTTTAAATCTCTCTCTGATTCAATGAAACTGTAATTTGAATTTTGGTCAATAAAGAGTGTAAGCCTCTATTCATGCAGTTATTAAAGAAGTGTTATTTAGGTCACTTGCTCTACATGTTTCTGTCAAATAAATCTCAAATTATTAATAATTGTTCACCAATAAAGTTACAATTGAATTTTTAGCAACAAACAATTTAATTTTGCAATGATTTATTTATAAATTCTTTGTATTGCCTTTTTCTGTTTTATGCTATTAATGTTTATTAATCTAATCTCTAACTGTCATTTTCCTGGGGTCCAGAAAAATGTGTACAATGTGTGGACAGTACGTAAAACTAATGATGCTTCTGACAGCAGTACTTTGGGGTCTTGCCTCAGGCCATATTTACAGGGCCTGAAGTGACAGCTCTTGGGTGTAATGATGACAGCCCAAGAAAGAAAAGTGAAGCAGCAGGTCTTAAGGGCTACACAAACACAATAAGTTAGATACTTCTAGGAGCATTAGGAATGTCCACAGAGGAAATAGTGAACTCTGATTGTGAGTGAAAATCTATCAAGAATAAATTGCAAATAAGCATTCTGGGCTCATCCTGTGAACCTAATAATGCTAGCAGAAAATTCTACATTTGGCAGTGCAAGACAAAAGAGTAGGAAATGCAGTATGACATCATTCAGATTGGAAGTCATGAGGGTGGCCCGCATAAGGTGTAGCTATTCAGCATTTGCTGAACGTAAGATCTTAAAAGTCATGGCAAACAATGGCAAGGCAGGAGGCAGCTTAGGCAACTGATGGCACCAACTGTATGCCAGAAGTGTAGATGCAGAGCTAGAAAACATTTATTGCATTTAACAGGGGAGGAAAAATGAGTGTAACCTTTGCACAGAAGTGAAACGCTTTACCTTTTGTCTACACCCACAGAACACATCCTGTCATGTACTGCTGTTTGTTTGTGGCCTACTTTTTTTTTCTAGGCAATCTCATATCCACCTACAAAACAATGTCACGTCACAAGAGATAGGAGATGCACACAGGCCATTACAAAAAGGTGAGATGCATGCAAAAGCAATGATACACATTCATTTATGTAAGGAAACTGATGATTCAGGATTAATCTAGATTAGTTCAGAGAATATTATTGGATGAACCTAATATTATGCTATGTTATTTAAACTGTAATCAATGTAGGACTCCACTGATATGACTATTTAACATCACTTGACAAAGGAATGACCAGAAGTTTTAAACAGAATACAAGTGACAAACTCTGTTACGGTTGAGTGAGGAATCTGTAAGTAAGAAGCTATTTGGTTCAGGTCAAAAAGTAGAGTTTATGGTCTTATTGTTATATGAGTCAGGCTAATGTGATCTTAGGCCAATACATGTGAGAAAGCTCTGAGGTGAAAAGTTGTTATTCAAAGACAATAGCTGTATTCTATACTTTACAATTGTAATGTCCTATTTAGAAAAACAAAACATTTTTTGCTAAATGTACTTAGAATTAACTTCTGTAGTAATATATGGCTCGTTTTGTAAACAGTATAATTATTATAGATTTCTATCATTGAAATTATATATTGATTGAATGTGTAAGGATATCACACTTACTCAATTTCCCTGCATTAACTATTGTGTATTTATATTTTTTACACAATTTGTATAACTTAAGTATTGCCTGCCATGTGATTTTATGTATTATTACTTAATAATTTTCTGTAGTAGATTTATGTTGTAAAAGTAACCTTTCTACTATGTTCCTTACTTTAAAGGTATTGTGTTCCAAATCTTCCAAAAGTAGAGAGAGGAAAAACACATTGAGCAGATGCCTCTAAAACAAATAAACATACATTGACGCTTTATTTCATAAAAGGTTAACCTTATACACATAAGAAAGAATCAATCAGGAGATGGGAGGAAGTGATATCACTAAGATGGCTATTACTGTTAAAAATCAGAAATTGAGCATACACTAACTGGCCATTCAAAGATTGACCCTGGACCGTTCAGGCACTGTGTCTGCATCACCCAGCCACTTAAGAATCTAATGATGCAGTGCTTGGACCAACTAGTGTTCAAACATAATTTTGATCATGCTATGAGTTACGATTTGAAAAAGGTTAATGAGGCTTATTTTTCAGTAGTTGTGTGTGTGCAGAAAGAATGAAAGCTAGAAGGGAAAAGAAGACACAGCACTTAGGGTTTTGGAGCAGTTGAGTCCACTATCTGGTTAAGTGTAGTTTCTGTTGCACTTGGTTTGTTAATTGAATAAATTTTAAACTTTTTAGAAATGCATTGTAAGTGTAATGGTCATGTACTTAGTCCACCCCCGCATGTTACAATTGAAAGTAAACTAGGTTTCAGAATCCCATGCTTATACCCCACCTCATAAAGCCAATGCAAAGGACTGTACAGATGTTTTGGGTGTGTTGGTCCTCTATATATTTATGAAAGTTTAATTTATCTGCAGGAGAAGTAGGCATTTAACAGAAAATTGATCATAATTAATTGAAAGAGGTCCTGCTACCCATCTGGTTCAATAGTGTCCTTTATAGATGAAAACTGATGTCCTTACCTGGTTTGGCCTACATGCAAGTCTTAACTATCCTCTGGGCCATTAGAGATGGGCAATAAATGCTGACCCAGCCAGCAATGCCCATATCCCCTGAATGAATATAAAAACCTGATGATATGACCTCATCTACAGGAGTAAAAAAACACCACAACAGAGCAATAATTATGTGACACTATCTGCTTCTACCTTACATAGTTCTTGATGCAGTAGCACATGCCCTTCATGTTACTTATCTGGTTAAACTCACCTGCTGAGCCAGGTTTTTTGGTAAAGGAGTACAAACCATTGATAAAGCCAAGGCAGTCCTATTTCAAACCATTCCTGATACCTGAAGACAGGTGAGATGCAGGCTGCAGATGTCACATAACTGGAAGATCCACACTCTCCAAGATAAGAGAGCAAAAGCCCAGCTCCTGTGCTCTCACTTACAGTGAAAAGTCTGGCATTTGGATGCTTGTATCGAATGTATCTGACTGCTTCCCTCAGATCAGATGGATCACCAAACTGTTGCAGCTTCAATGTAGTTAAAAGACTTCCATTCTGGCACCTTCTATTAAAAATCACTGGACGGTGGCCATAAGCCAGGGCTGAGGCACATAGCTGCAAAGACAAAACAAAGAATAGTGTAATTTAAAATGGAAACAAATCGAGTCTCAAGTCAACAAAGGCTTGGATAACAATTTCAGCAGCAGCTGAACTAAGGTAGGGAAAATTGCATAATATAACGGAGGTGCAAATATGTTATCCTACTGGAGTACAGATATATCGTCAGTTCATCTTGGGTAAAATATGACATCAAAGTAGTGACCAGTCTTGTTCAGCCTCAAGTAGTTTCCAGAGCAAGGAATGATGCTGGTGGTTAAGGAACAGTTTGTTCTGGGGGCCAAAGGTAGTAGCTTCAGTTTTCTAACATTTAGTTGGATGAAATTTCTACTCCTTGAGTACTGAATGTCAGTCAGAAAGTCTGAAAATTTGGAGGCAGCCTAATCATATCCCATAGTACTTCCGTTCATTTTCTGTATTGATGCATTACAGACAAAGAATTACAAGGGAGCTGTTCTGCCCTCAACTTTTCCTTGGTCATGTACGATCATGTTGCTTTTATTTTAAAAAATCTATTCTATTGTTTCATTAATGGGATAGTTTCAATGAGTTTAGCAAATATGTCACTGCCTTATTGTACACAATGAGAAGTCCTTGTTCAAATAAACTCTCCTGCACTTATCCAACATGACATGATTCTCTTTCAGATTTTTCCCCATGAATTGTGTTGCTTGGCTGATTTCTACTATAAAAATAGAAAGATATGTTCAATCATCACAACTCATTTACTGTGATCATGTGATAGCCATCTTGAAATTGCACAAGGGCAGAAACAAATTAAAATAAGTGTTAAAATTATCACAGGATACACCAACTTAGAATTTTGAGATATTAATTTATAATTCACATCAAATTATAGTCCATGTTTTTAAATATTGTCGATAAATTTAAAGTAGAATAGTTATGTTATAACTATCATTGATGATAAAGCTAATACTTATTATTGAAGGAATGCAGCATTGAATATTGGCAGTAGTCACTATCTGTATCATTGAAGGGATTGTCTTCACATATTAAATATTCTATTATACAGTTTTCATTACTACAAAGAAATCAAGAATTGATTCTTATAATAAGTATTCATTAGCAATTATAGACAGTTGTCATCTCATACTCCCATGCACATGAGCCCACATCTTGTTAGTGATATCCTAGAATTCTTAAGTTAGGATTCTAAGTACTAATATTGATAAGTGGATTTGTTTCTGCTGTGCAGTATATTCAAGATTTGGTCAATGCTACTTGAGAAATGTTTTCAACCAGTTTCACTCTAAACCCTGCAACCATCAAAGAAGAATATTGTGGTAAAACATTTCGCCACAGTCTGCCGTTGATTAGAGTTATTGTAAATGGACTACACTGAAGGCTCTCCACCTGGTAGTCAGCTTCTTTAATTAAATGTCTCAGGGAAACACCACATTACACTGTCTCAAATGAAAGAGTGTGTAAAAATCAGAGGGGAAATGAGTCACTACCTACACAGACCAGACATATTTTAAGAGCCTCTAAGGAAACTTTATAACTTCCAGATTCTCTCACTGGAGATGTTGTGATTCATAGGGCATACAGGAAGTGTTACAGTTTCACTAATGTCTCTTATATGTGAACGTGTGAATTGAATGCCACATCCTGTCTCATAATTATGGCATTCCATGCAGTTTTATTAAGTATAAATTTGAAAAGCAATAGATGTTTCTGTGACATCATAAAGGACAGTTCTGTGATAAGCAAGTTGTAAATCATATGATCATGAGAAATAGGAGAAGGAAAAAGGCCAATTAGGACTTTAAGCCAGCATTTTCACTCAATAGGGTCATGGATAATCAGATTGTGGCCTTCACATCATTTTCTGCCTGATCCCCATAACACTTGCCTCCCTCTCTGACTAGAACTCTGTCTTTACTCAGCTATGAATATGTTCAATGACCTCCATTGTTCTCTTTGGAAGTGAATTACAAAAAGCAGCAATCCTCTGAGAGAAGAAATTGCTCCTCATCTTGATCTTCAGTTGGAGCCCCCTTATTTTTAAACTTCGTTCTAAATTTCCCCATGAGAGAAAATTCACTGAGCACCTAAACTGTCAGTTTGCTTAGAATCATGTCCTCTTCTAAATTCTGAAGTTTATAGGCCCAAACTCTTCAGACTTTCTGCCTAAGAGAGCCCCTTCATTCCAGGATTCAACCTAGTGAACCTTCTCGAAAATGCTTCCAAAGCAAGTTTATTCCTTTGCATACAATACTCTTGTTGCAGACTCGCCAATACCTTGTACTGTTATAGCCTGACTTCCCTATATAGTCATACCCCATTCACCATGTACTAAAGGACAAATTTAGTTTAAATATTATTTAGTCCTGAATGGGTTGCATTTAAGCATGAGATAATGACCAAATGGCTTTGGGCTTAAGGGGAAATTCTTCCAGTGATTTGATTTTGTCTGCAATTGCATTTGATTAACACAGCTCCCTCTTGGAAGTATTGGAGCCATCCACTCATCCCTGAACGACCTACACTGAGCTGATTTCTCTACATTGCGGACAGCCATTCTGCCACCAGCAAAATGTTGCAAAAACTTCAAAAGTCGCTGGGGCCTCAACAACATTATTTAGCTGCCCTTCTCTGTGTAGCAGGCAGCCAATCTTCTTTCCAGCATGCCCTGGAGAAAATTCCCTGTGCCAGGACAATTCAGAACATAGAACTGTACAGCACAGGAATGGGCCCTTCGGCCGATGATGTTATGATACCAAACCATACTAATTCCTTCCACCTGTCCTTGGTCCATATGCTTCCATTCCTTGCACATTTCATGTCCTTGTCTAAAGGTCTCTTAAACATCCTGACCATATCTGCCTCCACCACCACCCCTGGCAGCATGTTCCAACTCCTACCACTCTCTGTGTAAAAAAACCTGGCCCTCATATCTCCTTTGAACTTGCCCCCTCTCATCTTAAATGCATGCCCCCTTGCTTTAGACATTTCAACTCTGGGACAAAGATTCTGACCGTCACCCCTATCTATGCAACACATAATTTCAAGACTTCAATCAAGTCTCCCTTCAGCATCCGCCGCTCCAGAGAAAACAACCTGAGCTTTCTTTTCTCTTATCGATCATACCCTCTAATCCAGGCAGCATCCTGGTATAGCTCTTCTGTACCCTCTCTAAAGCCTCCACATCCTTCCTGTAATGTGACAACCAGAATTAAATGCAATACTCTAAGTGTGACCTGACCAAAGTCGTATAAAGCTGCAACATGATATCCTGACTCTAGTACTTAATTCATCAACTAATAAAGGCAAGCATGCCATACACCTTCTTCACCAACCTATTTGCTTGAATAGCCACTTTCAGGGAGATATAGACTTGAATCCCAAAATCCCTCTGTACATCAATGTTGTTCAGAATCCTGCCATTAACTGTACACTTTCCCGTACCATTTGATCTCCCAAAGTGCAGCACCTCACACTCACCCAGATTAAACTCCATCTGCCATTTCTCCGCCCATATCTGCAACTGATCTATATCCCGCTTATCCTTTGACAAACTTCTACACTATCCACAACTCCACCAATAAGTCTACAAACTTATTAACCCACCCATCTACATTTGGATCCAAGTTATTTATAGAGATCAAAAACAGCAGAGGTCCTAGTACGAATCCCTGCAGCACACCACTAGTCATGGACCTCCAGCCTGAAAAACGACCTTCCGCCACTATCCTCTGCCTTCTACGGGCAAGCCAATACTGAATCCAAGCAGCTAAGTCACCGTGGATACCGTGCATCTTAATCTGCTGGATGAGTCTATCATAAGAGATCTTGTCGAAAGCCTTACTAAAATGCATGCAGACAACTTCCACTGCTCCACCCTCATTGATCATCTTTGTCACCACCTTGAAAAATTCAATCAAGTTAGTAGGACATGATCTGCCCTGCACAAAGCCATGCTGACTGCCCCTAATTAGGCCATGCTTTTCCAAATGCTCATAAATCCTACCCTAAGAATGCTCTCCAATGGCTTCCCAACCACCAATGTGAGACTGACCAGTCTTTAGTTTCCTGGATTATCCTATTTCCCTGCTTGAATACAGGAACGACGTTAACTACTCGCCAGTCCTACAGGACCTCTCCAGTGGTTAATGAGGACACAAAGATCTTGGTCAAGGCTCCAGCAATCTCCTCTCTTGCCTCTCTCAATAACCTGGGATAGATATCATCGGGCCCTGGGGAATTATCCACCTTAATTTGAGTAGAGGATTAGCAAAGTCTTACTTCAATTATGCAGGTGCATGGTTAGTCTGCACTTGGAGGTCTATGTTCAGTTTTGGTTCCCTTACCTTCGTAAGGATATTATTACCATAAAGGGAGTGCAACAAAGGTTCCCTACTCTTGTTCCCAGGGTGGCAGGATTGTTCAATGAAGAAGCCTTGGGAAAACTGAGCCTGTATTAGAGTCATAGCCATAGAGTCATACAGCACAGAAACAGACCCTTCAGTCCAACCAATCCATGCCAACCATAATCCCAAACAAAACTTGTCCTATCTGCCTGCTCCTGGCCCATATCCCTCTTAGCCTTTCCAATTTATGCACTTATCCAAAAGTCTTTTAAACATTGCAATCGTACCCACATCCACCACTTCCTCTGGAAGTTCATTCACACACAAACCACCCTCTGTAAAAAAAAATTGCCCCTCATGTATTTTTTAAATCTCTCTTCTCTCACCTCAAGAATGTGCCCCTAGTCTCGAAATCCCCCATCCTAGGGAAAAGACAACTACTCTATCTATACCCCTCATTATTTTATAAACTTCTATAAGCTCACCTCCCTGCCTCCTGCACTCCAGTGAAAAAAGTCCCAGTCCATCCAGCCTTTCTTTTTAAACCCAATCGTTCCATACCCATCAACATCCTAATAAATCTCTTCTGAACCCTCTTCAGCTTAATAATATCCTTCCAATAACTGGGCAACCAGAACTGGACACAGTATTCCAGAAGAGGCCTCA